AAAACTACATGTAAGTGAATAGATAAATGCTTTACATGCAAACAGTTAGTTTACTATTTGAATTAATAAAGTAGCTTTCCCACTCCCTTGGGGTCGGTGTTTGCGTCCACATATTTTAAATAAACATGTTAAACTATTACTTTTTCTGTCCTGAGGGATTGATTATTATATTTTGATTATTCTGCGATATAAAATAAACAGATATAATGAAAGAATTTACTATTTACTCATTTATACGAGTCTTACTTTTCATGATATAAGTCGAGCGTCTTCTCTGAAAACCCTTGTTATCTATTCACAAAAATGAAATCTGATAACAGTGAAATACAACATCGACCCGCTCATAGTTTATGATACGGACTTAAATACATTTACGTTTATTTTATGTTTTCAATTGTCGACTAGCAGGAATCAAATAATGTGTTTTAAATGTTTCAATAAGATAGTATAAAACAATTATTATGGATTTGTATAACACTATTTCGTTTCCTTTAGTGTCACACCTTGGAGGCTCAGAATTGGTTGCGTCAAGAGAATTGAAAGACAACGATATATCGGTAATTAACAAGTTTTTATATTTTTTCCTATTTTTACGCTATCATGTCATGCTTTTCAGTTTTGCTGTGCTGGGATTCCTCTTGTCTATTTTAGTACGGAAATCAAAGATCTAATCGTAATCCAAGGCAGGTAGTCAGAATGATAATCAGGGGTTGCGAGTTTGAACCTCGCTACTCAAGAAAATTACTGATAATTCGGATTATTTTATTCATCAAATATATTCTGTACTCACACGAATGTAGAAGTTATACTTTAAAAAAAAAAACTTTACTGACATCATTTTAAAATGATAACGTTTTTGCTTTGTTTGCAAATGAAGACAACTACATGTGATTTCTTCCAAAAATAACCTACATTTGTAAATCATTTAAGTATCAAATATGAGGGTAAATATCAAACAAAAAAAGAGTAAGCCCCACATCTCTATCTACTATAAAGACAACAAGTTCAATACATACAGGTACAGCTCGAAAACAATTTAACGGACCAGTTTATATATTTGTTAAATGTAACCAATAACAAACTTTCAAAATGTGTTAATGTTCACACAACCTAATGGTAAATAAGTAATCATGCATGTGTTTATTACAGAAAAAAATATCCCTGCTCGTGCGTTTGCTATAATATATATTTATATTTAAATATATATAATATAATATATAACTGTCACATTTTCTATTCCCAATTTATGTGTATCCACCAAGAAGACACAATCGCGTCACACTATGCGGTTGAAAAATAGTTGGAAACTGTATGTGAATAGTCTTATTTATTTGAAAATATTTATCAATTACAGGAGGAAAACAAGGACTGGGAGAATATTGTTTGTTGCAGTCCTGTACTAGAAGCATGGGCACGCTGGGAACTTGAACTCAAGTACTCAGGTAAATACTTCAGATAGTCCACGAATTCGAATTCATGTAATTTGAATTTTACATATTTGTTTACAAGAAAATATTAACTAAACTATTTAAATTGTTTTCTGTAACCAGTTTAATAATTGGAAATTTGATATGAAATTACAAATTTGATATGAAATTACAACTCGTGCCATGTCCCATGTGGCATACTACGAATTATGAATTTCAATAATGACCAGTTATTTTCAAAAGGTACACAATTTGTATGACGATACTTTCAGCAAGTATTTGCATTTAATTTAATGTGATTTACTTTTGAAGGTTCAATTGTCATGTTTGCATTGCTACGAAACCATCTGCCTGTCAATTTCTTAATTACAAACGCGAAAAGATATTGCTTCACATAAATGATGCGAACATCGTATTATAAATGTTAAATAAAGAAGCATGGGAACAAATGATATATTAAGAGAAATCTGTGATGAACATAGTTTGCAAGCATTCATGTATTTAGTATTTAAGAAGTTTTAGGTGTACATAAAACATTTTTATGACATTCAATTTACACGGAGCATCAGTAGAATGATAGATTCACCGTCCGGATACCAGCTCAGAAATATTGAAAATGGAATACTTTCTTTTACAAACTTTAGATACTAGAATATTGCTGTTGTATTTATCAATATACTTTATTTTAGTTGACAAAGCTCTTGGTACATTCTTCAGCAACGAAAGAAGAATAAAAATGATCACGGATTATATGAAAGGTCGCTCCATAGAGATCAAACCAGATGACTTGTTTGAATTGGTTCGTTTAGCAGATATGCTACAAGTTAGTGACCTATATGTTTATTGTAAATACCGTATATCAAATCTTGTGATCACAAAAGACAACTTTTACAAGATACTCCACGCCTGCACCTTATACGATTTTCAACATGAACATATGGATCGATACATTCGAGGAAATCTAAATGAATTGTGTGAAGAAGCAGATATTCTAAAGATTGACCCAGAGTCTGTGGAACTTCTTCTTACTGATAAAGAACTTTCATACTGGCAGACAACAAGCAGATTTAGGTTAATAAGAAATTGGTGTAGAGCTAACAGAAGTAATAACTACTTTGAAAAATGGTTTGAGTTCTTAGATTTCTATAAAATGGACAAATATTACCTCGATAATATTGTTAAAAAAGACTCCCTTGTAAGATTATCAATCACTTGCTTGCAAAGAGTAAATCAACATTCTAAGTGAGATACAAGATGCGCCATTGCCGTTTGTTTTTATTCTGGGCGATGATTGTACTGGATCAAACGTTATTGAGTTAAATCTTGAAGACAAACAACTGTACAAATTTAACTTTCCTGATAAAATAATGGAAACTACTTACGTCCAATGCGTGAAATCCACTGGAAAAATGTCATTCTTCATTCCATCGAAACAGCGGATATTTACATATGACGTAAATGACGGAGGTAGTATAGAGAAACGCATTGTTTGGAAGGGAAAATATCCTGGAAACATAAGCCATATCTTAGAAACAAAAAAAGGCCTAGTATTCATTTCGTCGGGAGAATACTATAATGGAATTTCAGGGTATCAGAATTGTAAAAAAATTGTACGGGGGTCAGTATTATACCATATGATAAGCGAAAATGCAGAGGTACTTAACGTTGAACCGTTCATGACATTATCCTTTGAAGTAGACTGTGTGTGTTACAATCAGTCAATGATTCTGATGTCCACAACAACATATTCGAAAAGGAGAAATTTGTACTGCCTTAATCTTCAAACAAACACAATAACAGAAATTAATCTACAAATCAATGAGAACCAAAGGTACGGGCTTTTTGAGCAGTCGTCTGTTAAATGTTTATTGCCAGTGCATGAAAAAATTCTCGTTGTGACTGGAATGTCATTTATGTTATTGTCATTAAACAAAGAATCAGATGCCTACAAAGTAGGGGAAAGGAATTGTTCGAATTTGACTCTTTCTTCACAGGGAGCCGCTTCATACGTATTTATTTCTGATAATTTGGTAGAATTGAAAGAGCGATATACACGTATCAGTTATAAAAGCAAGGATCAAACGTCTTTCCAAGATTGGCACACACTTAAATTGAAAAGATTGAAAATACCTTACTTTAAACCAATAATGTGTGCTTATGTCGAACGGACAAAACTATTATGTCATATAATGTGCCCACATTGTGATCCAGATGTCTGGGGAAAAGAAGCTGAAATGATCGGAAAAGAGGAAGAGTTGCAACAAAGAAAAGCTGAAATGATTAGAAAAGAGGAAGCGTTGGGACAAAGAAACATAATCGTGCACTACAGCTCTTACAATGAAGAATCTGATGTTTATAATGATTATTATGATAATCATTACCACCATGATGATTATAGTGATGATCCTTGGAATTAGAGAGAAATGTACTGGGATGCAAGTGCGGATGAGTTTGTTGAAGCTGGGTGGTAACAGAAACACAGTTTACAATTGAAACTGAATGAATATGAAAATATGTATACATTAAAAATAAGAATGAAGCCTGTTGAGAGGAGAATAAAATGTATATTAGATCTGATCCATTAATTTGAATGAGAAAACCTATGGCTGTCAGTAGTCTATGTTTTAAGCGGCCTTCAGCTTTTCTTAAGGTTAAATATGTTATTTTTAGATGAATCGTTTCATATAATTGTCAAAATCAAAGGAATTAAGTTGGAAATTGAAATTTGCCGACAACAAAAACATGTAGTAGTTTTCCTCGTCATCCCTGCCTACTTTGTCAGGCCTCTTCCATCGTTGTTCGATGGGGAAGAGATGTTAGATGTTTTTTAAATATGAATTTGTAACGAACATGATTAATATAATTTGAACAGGGTCAAATCTTACACGGTTACCTTACAAAATAATAAGTAATTCAGATTTGCGCAAACAATAACAAAAAACAAAACAAAAACAAAACAAACAAAAAAAAAACAAAAAAAAAACAAACAAACAATACACACACAGACTTATAAGAGATAATTGAATGTGCCATATCTATCATGCATTCCTACCTGCTTATTGAATCACTTATCAGTTCTGATATATAAAACGTCGCTTTCCATTGGATAATCGTGACGTTTATAAAGACTCTATACACGACTGCTGTGAAGTTATGAAGTAATTTCATGTTTGCTGTATAAATCGTTATATAAAGATTCTCGAAAGATTATATGGCCGTATATAAACTGAAGAGTGCAGTATAATAGTTATAAATAGTATTAGTTTGTTTCACTTGTTATGAGTTTACTTTGTATATAGTGTTTTCATTATATTGCAATCTCATTGGTCCAAACAGTAGTCAACAGGACTTTTTATAGAATCATACTCACTGGGTGAAGTATCATATTCATTGGCTGAATTGGATTTTCCCAGTCTAAAAATTGATTTAGGCTCATATTCAATGACCATACAACGTAGACTGCTAATTACACGTGCTTATTAAAAAATTTTTTTTTGCGTTTTAAATTGTTCTTTATAGCATATTTCTCGATTAAAATATCATTACACTACTATTATATATAGTTAAAGGTTACACCGCAGTGATGAGTTTCAACTTAAATTACTTTTGTATCCGCAGCGTTCGCGTATATATATTTGTTCAATGCCTTACATTATGATATATGATACAATATGATATACATGTGACATTATACAATTATTAAACTTTTAAATCTATAAATTTTGATGTTATTTCAAATACTATAATAACTTTTTAAACATAAATCAGTCAATATTCTCTTCTTAAATGAAGCGATACGATTTATCAATATATATTAATGTGATAATGCTATTGATAATGGCGTTTTGCGTTTATGTTAAAAGACCTTTAAAATGATTGAATTGTGATCTATATATAGATTCTTCATTTTTGGAAAATCGGCTAAATGTCGGAATATCGAAGTCGGCTTTCCGCCACCGATCCGATATATATCCGATATAGCCAAACTTATTTAAGACAGGATGATATCCGTCCAATATAGGTCCAATATACATTTATTTCCTGTTATTCTATTAAATGAGTTTTTTTAGTATATTCTTCTACAATTCATTTCAGCAAGAAATCGATGCTTTTAAAAAGAGTATTTAAGTCGTTTTCATAAAAAATACTTCGGTGCTATATCGGCTCAATGTCTGTTGCCGGTTTACTGTATAAGTGATTTGCAGAACGTGGTTTTTTTCTAGCCCACCTGCCATCAGAAGAAGTTTGCGCCAAAACTAAAAAAAGTGGATTTTTTCTCAAATACTACTGGTAAATTTATAAATTACTTATGCTTTTGAATAAATTCCTTGTTGTAGTATTCGGCGTCATTGATATTTTGCTCGTAGGTTTAGGAATTTCATAGTTATCTCGCCGTAAAATTATTTTGCAATACATTTTCGCGACTGTTTTTAAATTGTTGCCTGAAATTTAGCGGCTGAGAGAGAATAAACATCAAATTATAATTTTCTTTTTATTTTTATTAAAAGTTATAATTTTGATAGAGATGTCAAATGAAAGTTTTAATCAGAAATAATGAAATGTTGATTACTTTAAAAGAAATAGATAGTGCCTGCTTGCCTTTTGAAAGGACACTTTTCTTATTATAGTCCTTTAGTTAAAAAAATGTGAATATATTGTTATGTTGATATATTTTCTTAATGTTTGAAACATGAATGATTCATTGCAGGTAAATCATCTGTCTGTGACATGACAAACATACCTGAATCAGAGTGCTGACAACTGAAATAGCTGGTTTTGGAGAAAGAAAATGTCATTTTAGAAGCTAAAGATGACCAATTGATGCAATTCACAGTCCTAGGCAATACTTAGAATGAGTAAGTAGACAAAAAATTCTATGATAACGAAAAAATAATTATTCAGTTTGAGCTTTTAGGGTTATTAAGTAAAGTTTCATTGTTTTCTTTACTGATTTATTAACATAAATGTTTAAAATCAAAGCACTGAAAGTACTGAAGTATACATTGCTTGATAATATAATCCATCTTTGCCATTAAGGCCATATTGATTTTAACAAAACAATAGGGTCATCTTCTGACCAAGGTCAATGTCCCTAACAAGTGACTCACATGCACCAAGGCTTTTTTCTTCCAAAGTTATTTATGAGACAAGGAAGATGTGATGTTCAATCTGTGTATTGCTAGGCAAGCTGACAGATGAATTTTTTGAAACATCCGTTAAATGGACTGCATTATAGAATATTGAAACAGTCATATTGAGTTTCCAGTGATGCTGTCTAATAAAATACATGATCTGGCTTGAACTCTATACAAAGTCAATTAATTGAATCATCCTACAACACTTAATTACCAAATTATAGTACATCCTTTTGTATAGTTTTCCATGTTACAGATCTATGTACTGCACTTTGATGCATTAATACATTTATTCTGGTGTGTTGTATTCATCTCCACACATTAATTTTCAAATGCATTACTTTATCGTTTATTAATAAAAATGAAATCTATAATCAAAACTATTCAAATGTACTGTAATATTTTCATTATTCAATAATTGTGACATAGAGTCTTCATATACAACCTTTTCAAGAAATTATTTAAATTGGACAGCAAGTTAACAAGGGTTTTTCCATAATCAGGCTGTGTTACCAACTTCTTAACTTTAGATGAACTATTGAGCTAAAACATTTTTTCTATTTTTGGCTACTGTGACCTACTTATGATTTTCAACCAAGGTGATCTATGTTTAAACTCTAGCAGTCACACACATTCTTACGATGTTGTGTGACATTTGGGGCAAAAGTGTGACCAATAGAGTGTTAACAAACTAAATGACCAGCAGATTGTTAACAACTGTAATGTCATCGTCGGATACACATGGTTGATTAACATTTAACATGACATAACTGATAAATGTAAATGGTTCGGCCGTGGGTATCCGACGATGCTAAATGTGGACAGATCACAGTTGACATAAGATGGATGACCGACATTCAACAATCTAAAACTTCACCCTGAGCCAACCTATGAGTTTCACCACAGAAATAAATAATAAGATACTGCGTAATGATTAAGATGATGTGTAGTCATTATATCAGAAGTAAATTATTGCTTGTCTATATATGTTCTTTACTCTATTGTAACTACGCAAGTTCATATAGCATATAAATATAAAACGACTGCTAGATTGGTTTTTACTATAAACAAATAAATAGTAAAAGTTAATTATTTAAACGATTGAAAAGTCTAAGTTTATGGGTATTTTTATTCATATACCTTTCTTATCGCGGGTCAATGTGGTTTTCGGCTTTCCCTTGTTTTTAATGCTGACTGTTACATAGCCGAAAAAACATAAGTTTTTAACCAAGTTTCCCGAAGGAAAAAACTGGTTATTAGATTGAGTTATGTTGGTGGGCGGATGGGCGTGCGGGCGTAAACAATTTATTCTGTGCGCAACTCCTTCTACATTTCTCAACAGATTTTGACCAAACTTTCACAGAAACCTTGTCATCAAGTGCCCTCGCGCATATTGTCTTGGTTTTGCGATTGGATAATATTTTACCTAATTATGGCCCTTTGTTTTTTTTCCTTATACAGAATATATAGTGAACAATTTCTTCTGTGCGCAACTCCTACTACATTTCTCAACGGATTTTGACCAAACTTTCACAGAAGCTTTGTCATCAAGTGCCCTGGGGCATGTTGTCGGGGTTATGCGTTTGGATAATATTTGACCTAAATATGGCCCTTTGTTTTTTTCTTTATATAGAATATATAGTGAATAATTTCTTCTGTGCTGAACTTTTCCTACATTTCTCAACGGATTTTGACCAATCTTTCACAGAAGCTTTTTCATCAAGTGCCATGGCGCATATTGTCGGGATTTTGTGATTGGATTATATTTGACCTAATTATGGCCTTTTGTTTTTTTCCTTATACAGAATATGTAGTGAACAATTTCTTTCGTGCAGTACTCCTCCTACATTTCTTAACGGATTTTGACCAAACTTTCTCAGAAGCTTTGTTATCAAATGCCCTGGCACATATTGTCGGGGTTTTGTGATTGGAAAATATTTGACATAATTTTGGCCCTTTGTTTTTTTTCTTAAACAGAATTATCAATATATAGTGAACAAATTCTTCTGTGCTGAACTCGTCCTACATTTCTCAACGAATATTGACCAAATTTTCTCAGAATCTTTGTTCTCAAATGCCCTGTTGCATATTGTCAGGGTTTTGTGATTGGATTATTTTTTACCTAAATAGGACCCTTTGTTTTTTTCCTTATACAGAATATATATTGAACACTTCTTCTGCCGAATTCCTCCTACATTATTCATGTTTTACATTGCGCATAGTTACATTGTTTGTTGCTTGTATTTTTTTCAAATACAACATATTTACCTACAATGGTGATAATTGAAAACCTGGTTTCGTGACATTGCCATGTTTCTTGTTCATACTGTACTTATTACAAAAAATAACTGACATTAAGGTAATAAAATTTATGTAATAGTTATTCATTTAAAAGGTTGAAAAATGTATTTAGCAGCAATTTTTTTTAAATATATCTATTTTTTCGCAAGTAAAA